GGCAGTGGAGCTGCAAGGCCGGCGGCGGTGTGTGGCCTTATGACACACTTCCGGTGATGTCAGGGGGTGTGGCCTTATGACACACTTCCGGTGATGTCAGGGGGTGTGGCCTTATGACACACTTCCGATGATGTCAGGGGGGGTGACATATGCTAATGAGTTATGCTAATGAGTTCCCCTAGCTCTTTTTCTACGAAACGACCCCTGATCTCTGGACAGAAATGAGACAAAATAGAATAAGCTCAGTAGAAAGTACATTCTCTCGTTCATGTGGCTTGAAGCCCTTTGTGATCAAAAACAGAAAAGGGGAGGTGGGTTTTGAGTGTAGGTGGCCCTGTTCTGCTGACTCAGCCTCATTAGAAGAAAACGGGACGATGAGGAAGAGGCGTACTGCTTGCGTGACTGTACTGCACACACACTCAGTGGTACAGTGAAATGTGGAAACAGTGGGAACAAAAAAGCCGTGACGCGCAAGTGGTGCAGTCCGTGACGTTGGTTTGCAAAGCTCAAAGGCTTGCAAACCATATGTGCATTATAAATCTAAGCTCCACATAGAAATAGAAGAAGAAAAGAAGAGATTCGATTTATACCCCGCCCTTCACTACCTGAAGGAGTCTCAGAGCGGCTTACAGCCTCCTCTCCCTTCCCCTCCCCACAACAGACACCCTGTGAGGTAGGTGGGGCCTCGAGAGAACAGCTCTGAGACAACTTGTGACTGACCCAAGGTCACACCAGCAGCTGCATGTGGAGGCACGGGGACTCAAACCCGTTTTTCTCAAATTAGAGTCTGCGCTTCTAACCACTACACCAAACTGGCTCTCTTTAGACTTTATGCGTCTCCCCACCTTTGGGCAGCACTGTTTACAAGTTTTTCACTCTCTATGTGTCTGTGCCACAAGTATAATATACAGTTTGCCTCCTGAGAATACTTCATACATTGTGGGTCAGAGTCCACACTTCTTTCACAATAAATAGTCTTTAGGGCACCATAAGACTCCTATTTGTGTTGTGTGTCTTTCTATGCAGAATTACCTCTCTGGAAAAGCATAAGCTGTCTGGGAAATGCAATTTTGTGCCCACTCAAAGTTGTTCTGCTGGGTTTTGGCCACTAGGTGGCAATAAGCTACTACGGTAGTATCCAACTCCTTAACGCTTTATGCATTTCTTCAATTTTTCTCCCATCCAAACATTGCTTTTCCCCCTTCACGTACTTTCCTTTGGGGCTCGGCTGCTGTGCATCCCAAAGAAACTGTCAAGGTCTGGAGGGCCAGTAGCAGGCACTTCATGTATCCTAACACGTTCAATAGCTGCCTTAACCACTTAAGAGATCTTGTGTAGCTGGGCAGGATGGGATGAGGGGGAGGCATATGCCGGAGTAGACGACGTGAGGCTAACAGATTGCTGTCCCCCAGTCTGATTGGGCACGTCGTTTCCCAGTACTGGCTCACATTGATCCAGTGTGAAATGCAAAAGAGATCTTTGGGCACAGGAGTCCTTGGATCTCTCCCTGCGTCTCTTTTTTGTTTTGTTTTGTTTCTACCTTGCTTCTCTCTCTAATGGGGACGAGGGTTGCCAGGTTCCACCTGCCTGCCAGCGGGGAGACTCCCAATCCTTACTTGAGTTCTTCAGGCGGCAATGACGTCACCCGGAAGCGATGGCATCACGTTTCTGCCGTTGGGGGTGACGCTCTTGGTTTTGGGCAAACCTCTATGGGTTTTTTTGGCCTCAAAACGATAGAGTTCTGCCCAAAACAGAGTGTCACCCCCATTGTTGGAAACACGATGATGTCACTCCTGGGTGACATCATCACACCGGTGGCACCCGGAGGGGGCTTCTCGGAGGATCCCGTGGCCCCACCAGGGGAATGACAACCCTAATGGGGACCCAAAGAGGCTTATGACCAGTGTTCCCTCTAAGCTGAGTTAGTGTGAGCCAGCTCACAGTTTTTTAGCCTCCAGCTCACACATTTTCATCTTAGCTCAGGAAGGAGGGCTCCAGAGCAAACTAATTTATGCAGCAGCCAAATCACCTGCTCACAACTTTAATACCTGTAGCTCACAAAGTAGAATTTTTGCTCACGAGACTCCACAGCTTAGAGGGAGCATTGCTTATGACCTTATTTTCCCCTTCCCTCCTCCTTTTTACCCTCGCAACCAGAGGTCATTTCGGGGGGGAACGTGGGGGATCGCAGTTCCCCTGGGTGAGGTACGGGGGGCGGGGCACATTATGAAGCCCCGCCCCCTGCTTCCGGCCGCCCCGCTTTCGGCCCTCATTCAGCGAGGAGGAGGCAGGAGAAGAGGGAGGGTAAGTTGCTTCCTCCCTGCCTCTCCCCACCTTTGCCTGCCTGGGGCCAAGGAGGGACTTCGCGGGGCTTCCTTGCACTCCCGCCGGCCTTTCAGGTCCACCGCCGGGCCCCTCATCCTGCTCGCAACAGTCACCCTGTCAGGTAGCGTGAGCAGAGAGAGAGAGCGAGTGACTGGCCTACAGTCACCCACAGAGTTTCATGGCAGAGTTGGGGGACTGAACCTGGGCCTCCCAGAACCTGGCTGGAGCCCCCCAGTCACCCCTGTCCTATACTGATTGTCTTGGGCTGCACCCTCTTTTAGGAAAGGCGTGGAGAAAAAATTCCTTTCCCTAATGGAAAAGCCAGTGTTGGAAGCCAGCGGCCTCCCCTCCTATTGAGAACTGCTTGCTCTTGCTAATTGGGTAACATAGCAGGTGCGTCCATTAATAACAGAGGGCTCTTAAACCTCTTTTCCTTTTATCCGTCCTCCCGATCAATTTTCCTGATTTCTTCCCCTCCTGTCCTACCCCCTTCAGCCTCCCCGCCCCCCCCCTCGGCCTGTCATTTTCTCACTTTGCTTGTCTCTCTTCCTGGGCCGTGTATCCCCCCCCTCTCTGTGTGTCGCTCTCCCCCCCCCCCTCCCTGGAGTGCTTGTGGTTTTAAAGTGCTGATGCTAATCGGATTTGAGTTGACTTATTGTCAAAGTAGCTTTACGCGTTCCTTGGAGACTATTTTGGAGTTACGATCAAGATTTGGATCTTGGCTGTTGGCCCGCAGGGACCGGCTTGTTTTGCTACAGCAGCATCTTGAATACAAAAGGGAGGAGGGATGAGGGGGGGGGATGGAGGATCTGCCGGTATTAGCACACAGTCGCTGAGATAAATTCGGACAGGAATACCACACGCAGCCCATTGGAAAAGCAATAGATGAACTAGCGGGAAGGAAGCAGGTCGCTTGTGCGGATCCTCCGCACTTTTTGGGAACCTGGGTTTGAGTTTTGACCCCAGCAGCGGGAGAAATGTTTCCTGGAGCAGAGTGAGTGGCAACCTGGTGATGGGCCAGTGATTTCCCATAGAGAGGAGAGCGATGCTGCAGGCCCTGGCCTGGAATCGGCCCTCGGACCTGAGTTCTAGGGCCTGGGAGGATTCTGGTCTTTGGTGCTGACTTCCTAACTTAAATGGCCAGCAGCCCATCTTCTGATCATTGGGGTCTTGTGGAATGGGGAGCAGGGTAGCTCGAGACCCAGAAACCTGACACTGAGGGGTTGGGGTATGCGGCACTCCAAGATCTAGGGTCTCCTTCGCTGGAGCTAGGTAGGGCTATCCACTGCATCTTTTTAAAGGAGTGTTCGACTTTCACACTTGTGGGGGGAAATCGGGAAGGTGTACTAGACTATTTCCGGTGATAACAACAAAGTTGCAGTGTTTGACTATTCTTGCAGGGTTTCTTGGCTTGCATTGCCGAGTTCTGCTTCAGGACGTGGCCCTTGATAATTAGTTTACGTGTTATATTCTTTGTACCAGAGTCAAGATAGATTTGATAGGCCAGGGCAGGGGGTTGGTCGCTCCTGTGATCTGTCAATTCTGTCTCCATTTCCAGGTTTCCCATTCAGCATACTTAATTTTGAGCATTAGTATCTGGTGTCATTCAAGCAGGACGTGCCAGAGATTTCTTTGGTCTGCTGTCTATCCCGGTGGCTCTGCTGACAGAAGTTGGTCTTGGGCCTAGTGTTCAGGACTCCCAGACTTTTAGAATGGGGAAGGGGGTGCCAGCAACTGTGCCAAAGCCCCCCATATCAAGAGCAGTTCAGGGATTTGTGGCTTCCATGACAACCATGGGGTAACCCCAGAGAGTTTCATGTCCTAGAGATGAAGTAGGTTTGTGCAGTTTTGTTCCGCTGACTGAGGTGAATAACGATTTGCAAGCCGGCTTCCCTCGTCACAGATGAGTTTTAGGCCTACGGGGGTTTTAAACTTATACAGAGGTGGGAGTTTAGATAGGTGGGCCCACCCTCAGAAGCTGATGGGGTTTCATGGACCTTGGAGGAGACTCTTGCTGAAATGGTGGGTGACTCTGGTCATTGTCAAAAGGAGGTGTCCTGGACAGTGGAAGCAGTTGCGCACAGATTCTCTTTCCCACTGACCAGAGCCCAGTTCATTCCCTGGTACACCAACCACTGTGCCGTGGAGATGAGAAGAGGCCCTTCCCTGTGAATACCTTGAAAAAGTGGGGGTATGCAAGAATGGAGCTGCGGTGGCTCAAGTGGTTAAGACGCTGAACTGCAGGCTGTGGAAGGTCAGTAGTTCAGCAGTTCAAGACCCGGGTGCCGCAAGACGGGGTGAGCTCCCGTCTCTAGTTCCAGCTCCTGCCAACCTAGCAGTTCGAAAGCCAGAAATTGCAAGTAGATAAATAGGTACCACTTCGGTGGGAAGATAACAGCGTTCCGTGCGCCTTGGTGTCTAGTCATGCCGGCCACATGACCACGGAAACGTCTTCGGACAGCGCTGGCTCTTCGGCTTTGAAATGGAGATGAGCACCGCAACCCTAGAGTCAGATTCGACTGGCTTTTGAGCAAGGGAACCTTTGCCTTTACCTATGCAAGAATGGGGGGGGGGGGAAACGGCGCTCTCAGTTGTTCTCCATCAGGCAGGGACCCTAGTGGAGAAACCCTGCTCTCCTGAGGCATTTTGAATCCCCTCAGAGGCGTGGTGTGTCCCAAAAAGAAATAAAGGTGGTGACAAAATGAAAAAGTGAAGAATGGTATAGGATCTTGCCATCTTTACACCTTGTGGCTTAGGTTGGTCATGGTCCCTACAAGATTTCATTTGAGAGGAGTTCTCAGTACTGATTTTTGTGTTTCTGAGGTGAGCTATAGGGATCGCGTTCCCTCACCACCACTGTGGAGGCAGGCAGGCCGGCCGGCCCCTGTTGTCTTTGTGGCTTCTCTGGCAGATCAGAGCAGCGTTTCCTCCCTTCTCCATTTGTCCTCATAATAATCCGGCGAAGGAGGTTAGGCTGAGAGGGTGTGATGGGTTGGTCCCTAGTGAGCTTCATAGCTGTGTGGAGATCTGCGGAGTCTTCCCATTTGGTGTAGTGTTTAAGTGCGCGGACTCTAATCTGGGAGAACCGGGTTTGATTCCCCACTCCTCCACTTGCACCTGGCTGGATGACCTTGGGCAAGCCGTAGTTCTGATAAGAGCTGTTCTTTAAAAAACAGCAGAGTCTGCCAAGAGCTCTCTCAGCCCCACCGACCTCACAGGGTGTCTGTTGTGGGGAGGGGGAAGGGAGAGGAGTTTGTAAGCTGCTCTGAGACACCTTAGGGATTGCCTTCCCTCAGCACCACTGTGGAGGCAGGCAGGCCGGCCGGCCCCTGTTGTCTTTGTGGCTTCTCTGGCAGATCAGAGCAGCGTTTCTCCCGTCTCCATTTGTCCTCATAATAATCCTGCGAAGGAGGTTAGGCCGAGAGGGTGTGACTGGACCAAGGTCACTTGCCTAGTGAGCTTCATGGCTGTGTGGAGATCTGGGGAGTCTTCCAGATACTTGCCCATTTGGTGTAGTGGTTAAGTGTGTGGACTCTAATCTGGGAGAACCGGGTTTGATTCCCCGCTCCTCCACCTGCACCTGGCTGGATGACCTTGGGCAAGCCGTGGTTAAACAGGTCCTATCATGCCCCACTTGTTCCATGGTTCCATATCCCTGCCTGTGGGCAGAGGGAATTCTGAGGATTTCATGGTTTGAGTTAAAAGAAAAAGAAAACAGATTCTCAAGGACCTTATTTCTGCACCGGCTGCATTATTCTGAGTTCGGTCTCCAGAGCTTGACTCTGTCAGCAGTTTATGTGCCACTTTTCGAGTCAGTGAGGTTCTTCTTCTTGCCTGGCACACTGACCACTGCAACAGGTCCCATCGTGCCCCACTTGTTCCATGGTCCCATATCCCTGCCTGTGGGCAGAGGGAATTCTGAGGATTTCATGGTTTGAGTTAAAAGAAAAAGAAAACAGATTCTCAAGGACCTTATTTCCGCACCGGCTACATTATTCTGAGTTCAGTCTCCAGAGCTTGACTCTGTCATCAGTCTCTTCCATGGAAGTTTGTTTTGTTTATGTGCCACTTTTCGAGTCAGTGAGGACCCCAAGCGGCAAACCCCCGTCTTTCTCCCCTCTTCCGTGTCATCCTCCCGACAATAACCCTCTCAGGTAGGCCAGGCTGAGACAGATTGCGACGGGTCCAAGGCTACCCGGTGAGCTTTCGTGGCGGAATGGGGATTGGAACCCGGCTCTCCCATGCTGGCCCTCGCAGCTAATCCTCTTGCTTTGTTTCTTTGCATTGTGATGCCAGTATTTCCCTGGACGCCTCGTGGTCATGAACTACCTTCGGAGCCTGGACAATTGGCTGAGGCCGAGGACAAACGTTACGCAGAGTGAATGGGAGGAAGCTCTGAGGAATAAAAGAGAGGTACCCTGAGATTGATTGATTGATTGATTTATAGCATACCGAATGTATAGCATACCAATACCGAATTCGCTTCAAGGTGCTGGTACTATTTATTTATTTATAGCACACCGAATGTATAGCATACCAATTTCATACCGAATTCGCTTCGAGGTGCTGGTACTCACCTTTAAAGCCCTTTACACAACACCGATTGGCCCTCCCAGGCCCCAAGGACGCCAGGCTCGCCACTACCAGGGCCAGGGCCTTTTCAGTCGTGGCTCCATACTGGTGGAATGAGCTCCCGGAAGAGATCAAGCTTTCAACTAGGAGCCACCACCAACATCTGTGGTTATGGACCGGTCCCAACCCTGAGATCGAGCCAAACCATCGCGTGACGCCAGAAGAACACAGAGTTGGAAACTACATCATATAGCACGCCATCTCGATTAAGGATGGAATGACCGGCCCCAACCCTGAGATCGAGACAAACCATCGCGTGACGCCAGAAGAACACGGAGTTGGAAACTACATCATCTAGCACGCCATCTCGATTAAGGATGGAATGATTACTGTTACTGGCACTTTATGATTCTCTGATTGTTTTATAATGTTTTAAAATGTTTTAAATTATTTTATGTGGATTTGTTGGGGCTTGTTGCATGTGCCCGCCCCCTGAGCTCTTTACTGCCAGAGCTCCGCTCCTGTGAGCTCCTGCAGGAAATGACCCCTGGTAGTATTTACTTAGATGGTGATACAGTCCTGATGGTATTCTCACCAGCTCGGTTTGTTCGGCTTATTTGTGTAGCCGCGCAGGCTGTAGGTGGTAAGGCCCAGGGCACAGGGACACTCCTCGGTGTTTGATGGGCCCCCCTAGGAGAAAGCCTGGTGGAAGAGCTCCCTCTTGTGGGCCCTGCGGAACCGTAAAAGGTCCCGCAGGGCCCTGATCTCTTCCGGGTTGAACAAGAAACTCTCTCCCGCCATAAAATCATGCATCTTTTCCTTCCATTTTTCCAGTTCTGGTGGTTTTCCATTTCCAGGGAACTCTTTCCATACCGCAACAAAGTTTGAGTCGAGCGGCACCTTTAAGACCGACAAAGTCTTGTTCCAAGATGCCCCTGGACCCCAACTTTGCTCGGCTGCTTCAGACCAACACGGCTACCCGCCTGAGTCTTCCCATACCGTTTCGTGTGCCGAAGGCATGCCTAAGGGTCTCCTGTGGAGTGTCCCTGTGCAGCGCAGAGGGTTATGAAGTCTATTCCGGGATGCACTGTTAGTTATTGCAGGGATTCAGGTCTGTTGGGCCTCAGTGTTTTCTCAAGTGGATTGAGGCCACATCAACAGTATACCCCAGGAGATTTTGCTTACGTAGTATCTCCTTGAGGTATGACAATTGGAATAACGCATTCCAAATTAAGATTAACCATTTTTACTTTTAAATGAGGTGGTGGTAGAAAGTGTCGTCAAGTCATACCCCTGAAGACAGAACACGACACATTTTGATATCAACTTTAGTCGCGATTGCCAGATTATGCATAGCCCCCAAAATGGAAAGATACGCTACCCCCCGCTATTCCACAATGGCATAATAAACTATGGGAACACTTTGTCTATGGTAAGACACCCCCCCACACACAAGGGGTTTCAAACACAAGCAGTTATCAAAAAACTTTCCAGGCGGTCTGGTTCGCGGTTGTAGAATACCTGGTAGAGAAGGAAGTTGTCCCAAAACCCCCATATTATCACAGTTTGTTGTATTTCTAATTCTCTGCGTTCGAATTGCCTTTTAATCTCTATATTTGAATGGTTGATCATTTTTATCCACCTCCTGAGGACTCTTGAATTTTTTGAGTATTTCAGAAACTGTATGAAACATGTTTGGTATGTTATACTTGTTTTATTGATTTTGGAAAAATAAAAATTATTTAAAAAAATTTTTTTTAAGTCACAGCCGACTTACAGCGACCTTGTAGGGTTCTCCAGGCAAGAGATGTTTCAGAGAGGTGGGTTTGCCCTGTCCTGCCTCTGTGTCGCGACCCTGGTACTCCTTGGAGGGCCTCCCATCCAGCTACTTGCCAGGGCCGACCCTGCTTAGCTTCTGAGATCGGACAGGACTGGGCCAGCTTGGGCCACCCAGATCAGGGCTAGAAGAGACTTAGAGCTAAAATGCCCCTGGCATCTCACTTCCCATGGATTACATTCCATGATATGATCATTGATGGATATTTAACACCATTCATTCTGCCCCCCCCCCCCTTCAGAGCTATCCTGAAAATCAACTGGGTAAACTGTTTTAAATTTCCGTAAGATGTTTTCCTCTGCACCCTCCGATGTACCAGGACCGCTTTTCTCTGCCCTGTTTTCCAGCATCCTTACGCCAGGCTGCCAGAGACCCCGAACTGGGTGGGTTGCCAAGGAAGCAAGCCCGAGTTCCGAGGTTTTCCGTGCTCGCTCTGGACTCTCTTCCACTTCCTCACGGTGCAGGAAGCCTTGCAGAGCCCCAGGTTTACCTGTAAGTAAAACACCTTCTTGGCTATCTGTATGTTGAAACTTGAGATCCCAACTACCAGAGAGTGTCGATCACAGAGTTCTGGAGTCGCATCCTAAATCGGCCATTATGGACCGGTCTTGGCTTTACCGTTGACCTATCTGCACAGTTCTTGTGCGACCTTCCACTGGAACTTAAGTGAGGAAGTCTTTTTCGTCTGTACCTCTTCCTGATTCCTTCTTGTTGGTTTCAGTCTTGACTGTGTCAGGTGGCCCTGTCATGGATCTGGAATGTGGAGGGGGTATTCTCCTCTTCCGTCTCAGCTCTTCCCTGTCCAGATTGTGTGCGCTATCTCGGGCTTGACCTTGTAGTCTCCAGCTGCATTTACTCGGCTGGGAAAGTAACGGCTTTTCGCTGTGCCCGCTTGCTCGCTTTTTGCCCGTGCGTGCAAACTATAATCATTGGCTCCAGCTCATTGGTGGGGATGTTTGATTTCACTACAAGTCAGAGGCCCTTATACTGACGGCCATTCCTGACACAAGCTGTACATGTGTTGTTTAGTACTGGAATCTCTCCCTTATAATAATTGGATAGTGGGGACCAACGTTCTAAAATGCCCGCCTTTAGTGTTTGGCCGGAAGAACTGCCACTCAGAAGACACTGGCTGGTGGTGTTCTGATTCTTGTTTGCTTTGCTTCACTCCCTGGTCCGTGATTCATTCAAGCAAATATCCTGTACTGGCCTGAATCCTGGTCAGTATTCCAGCCTTGTTTTTTTAATGATCAGAGAACGCGTGAAGCTGTCTTATATAGAGTCAAACCACTGGTGAGTATTGAAGAAGAAGAAGAAGAAGAAGAAGAGATTGGATTTATACCCTGCCCTTCACTACCCAAAGGTGTCTCAGAGCGGCTTACAAACTCCTTTCCCTCCCCCTCCCCACAACAGACACCCTGTGAGGCAGGTGGGGTCACGCCCAGGACTTTTTGTATATTCAGTATTGCTGGGGGGGGGGGTTTCCTCTGGAAGACAGGGGTTTTATTCATTTATTTAAATTTCTAGCTCACCCTCCCCTGCACAGCAAGGCTCAGAGCGGGATACAACAATACACAACCACAATATAGCAACATAATGGTTGTTTTGTGTTATTTTGCCCTTTCTTACACACCCAGGGAAATGTTGATCACGACTTTGGGGTCAGGAAGCCATTTTTCTCTAGGTCGGTTTGACTAGGCTTACCAAGTGGCGGCGGGGGATCCACATGTCTTCACAGGATCCCTGCCGCGGGGACGGCGACACGCGTTGCACCCGCCGTCGCCAGGATGTGACGCAATGCGTCGCTCAGATCCCTCCCAAATCTATGATTCTATGATTCTCATACAAATATAATAAATTTCAATAAAACAATAAGCAGTATCAATAAATTATTAAGATCCAGTTGGAGGGGGGGACAGTTCAAAATCCCACGAATATGTCGAGTGTCTTTGGTTACGCTTTTGATTTTCTCTGTCTCTTTAGCACCCAGTGTGAGAGATTTTGAGGGGTGCACAAATGCATTTCTCCCCCCCCATTCAGTTACTTATATATGTGTGTGTGCATACATTTGTGTTTGTGTGTATGTATAAATTCTAATGGGTTTCAACAGGTTCAACAATGCTGTAAAGTAATAAATAAATATTTATAAAAATAATACTTAAAACATCCGTTTTAAACCAAATGTGTTTTGGCCTCTTTGGTGTAGTTTGATGTAGTGGTTAAGTGCACGGACTCTGCTCTGGGAGAACTGGGTTTGAGTCCCCACTCTTCCACTTGCACCTGGCTGGATGGCCTTGGGCAAGCCGTAGCTCTGATAAGAGCTGTTCTTGAAAAAGAGCAGTTTCTGTAAGAGCTCTCTCAGCCCCACCTACCTCACAGGGTGTCTGTTGTGGGGAGGGGAAGGGAAAAGAGTTTGTCAGCCACTCTGAGACACCTTTGGGTAGTGAAGGGCGGGGGATAAATCCAAGTATGTCTTCTTCATCATCCTCCTCCTCCTCCTCCTCTTCTTCTTCTTACCTAGTTTATCAGGGTTGAAAGCCCCCCCCATTTTTTGGTTTTTTAAATATGTTTTGAGACCCTTGCAGAAGAAAACAACATGCACGCACATAAGAACAAACAAACGGTAATAAAAGCCAGGGGCGAGGGTGCCAGACCGGATCTAAGCCTACTGGCTGCATTCTCTTATGTGTGCTTAAACAGCAGTCGCCTATTCCAGCTGTAAAGTATTTCTCTGCTATACTGGCCACCCTGCCAGCTCAGTTTATTCTCCAAGGAGGACCAAAAGTATGCCAAAGAGAAGATGGGAAGTGATTTTCATTGGAGAAATAGCAGGTGGTAGTGGGGAGCAGTGTACCCTCTAAGCTGAGTGAGTGTGAGCCAGCTCAGAGTTTTTTAGCCTCCGGCTCACAGATTTTTGTCTTAGCTCAGGAAGGATGGCTCCAGGGCAAACTAATTTATGCGGTAGCCAAATTGCTCACTCACAACTTTAGTGCCAGTAGCTCACAAAGTAGGATTTTTGCGCACAAGATTCCACAGCTGAGAGGGAGCATTGGTGGGGAGTCTTAATTATGTGGGGCCCCCTCACGCACACGGCTTTTCCTCCGAAGCCCTCTCCCCAGAGCTCCTGTTCTGCTTGACACAGCAAATGTTCTCCCTAAAGCCAGTCGGGGGGCAGCTTCAGCGGTCCTTCCCCTCTTGCTGCTTTTCCACTGAGGACCGTGCCTTCTTCTGCACTACTTCGTCCCTGAGTTGGTTGTATGGACGGCACAGAAGTGTAGGGACTTTTGGTACCATTGAGTGGCGTAAGGTGCCCTGTTAAGGCATGGGTGCAACTGCCCCTCCTGCAAAGCAGAGGGGTCTGTGCTTTGGAGAGGAAAACGGTGTCCGAATCCACTCTGAACGAGATGAAATCTATATTTCCCCTCATTTGTCAATTCCTGTCTGATTAACGGGACTGTCTCTTCTTTCTGTCTTTGTCCTCCAGCCCCGTCTGAAGTCCTTCCGACAATGAGAGGATACATCCATTACTTCTTTGGTTGCCGGGAGTGTGCGGATCACTTTGAAGGCATGGCCGCAGAATCCATGCACCGAGTGAAGAACAAAGATGGCGCCATTCTCTGGCTCTGGTCAAGGCACAACCGAGTCAACGCTCGTTTGGCAGGTGAGGGCCTTGCTGCTAAGGGGCTCACTGACTGCTCTTGTGGGGCACCACGGGAGAGCCTTGGCTGCTGTCCGGAATCAACAACAGTCGTTTCACTTAGAGAGCCAGTTTGGTGTAATGGTTAAGAGTGGCGGACTCTAATCTGGAGAAACCAGGTTTGATTCCCCACTCCTCCACATGCAGCTGCTGGGTGACGTTGGGCCAGTCACAAGTTCTCTCAGAGCTTTTCTCTCAAGAACAGTCCTCTCAGAGCTCTCTCAGCCCCACCTACCTCGTAGAGTCTCTGTTGTGGGGAGAGGAAAGGAAGGAAATTGTAAGCCGCTATGAGACCCCAAGTGAAGGGTGCGGTATAAATCCTGCTCCTCTTCCTCCTCCTCCTTCTTCTGCACTTTTGAAAGAATTAGGATAATGTAGTCTTCTGAAAGTTTAGGCCCTGTCTATATGTTTCCTTGATTCAGGGGTCCCCAATCTTATTGCACCTGTGGGCACTTTTAGAATTTTTGAAGCAGCAGCCATCACCGCAAAATGGCTTCCATGGAGAGCCAGAGACAGTCAGAAAATGGCTACCATGGGATACTGGAGGCCAGTCTCACAATGCTGGGAAGCTGAAAGCCAGTCAGTTGTTTCTAAGTTCTCCTGGAAGCTGGGATTGGCCCTTTCCTTTGTGGGAAAGATGCTGTGGGGAAGAAGCTGACAGGTGCAGGAAATCCTCTGGTGGGCCCTTATGTACCCGTGGGCTCCATGTTGGAGATCAGTGCTTTGGTAGTTGTCATGGGTCCCATGCAGCCCTGTGAGGAGAAGCACCACTAACATGGTACGTACCCATGCAGTCTACCCCAATCATGTGGGTTGAAGACAAGACATGCACACTGTTGTCTGGACTAATGTGGGAGCAACATAGGCAGCCATGTCATGCTAATGTTTAAGCATAGCCTTACAGTATACAAAAGTCTCTACGCTTCAGTGGCATGGACTCCTCCTGGACTTCTTTGGGAATTTTTCTTCTTTGTGTCACCTGAAGACATAGCAGTGGCACATGTTGGTCCTTCAAGGTGGGTTGAAAAAAACATTTGGCCTGTTACTCCCGAGTCCTGATATTAAACATGATGCTGGTAAGGCGCAAAGTGCTTCCTCCAGGGCCACTTTGCATAGACTCTGTGTTCCTTGTTTTAGTTGAGCTATGACCTGTGCTAAGCAGTGAAGAGTGATAAGTTTCCCTGCCAGAGATCTGCGGCTGTTGCAGATATTCTGGTGCACTAGCAAAACACCCACAGCTGCTTTGTAGAAAATGCCAATCCCATGTAAAGTCACATGGGGATCAGTGTTCCCTCCAAGCTGAGTTAGTGTGAGCTAGCTCACAGTTTTTTAGCCTCCAGCTCACAGATTGTCGTCTTAGCTCAGGAAGGATGGCTCCAGAGCAAACTAAAACTATGCAGTAGCCAAATCGTGCACTCACAACTTTAATGCCAGGAGCTCACAAAGTAGAATTTTTGCTCACATGACTTCCACAGCTTAGAGGGCGCATTGATGGGGATGGATGTCTTACCAATATCATACTCAAACTGGGCCTTATAGACTGATGATATGGAGGGAAGGCAAAAAGTTGCGAACACAACAACGTAAAAGCACCAACAAGCTGTTTTTCTCAGATTTATTGTTGCATTTTGAGCCTAAATGGTCTTTCTCTGTGCAAATGGCTTAACAAGCAAAGCTTTAAGAAAAACATCTCTTTCATCTTACTCCAGAGTAGATGGGCTACAGCAACAATTGTAAATTTCAGACTAGGTTCCTGCAGGATTTTTTTTTTAAGCTGGTCGAAGTGGGGTGGAAAGACAGCCGTGTCCCCAACATTGCTACGTCACTTCCCGGGAAAACCTGGACGTGACGTAGGGTAGCTCTAGGAATCACCAGAAATTCTGTCATTTTAACCATAGTGTTTCTGGTGATACCTAGAACTACCCTATGTCACTTCCAGGTTCTTCCCGGACGTGATGCAGCAATGTCACGTGCCCTCCAGTATCCCCACCCTCAACCTTCCTGCCAGTTTAAACCTTATGAGTACCGTCCTGTTTGTTTTTTAAACTTCATATAGTGAGATGCTTTCCCCTGAGGAAGAGCATTTGTGTTGAAAACACATTGGGAAAATTGGAGGCCTGTTCATCTTATTTGGGGAAAGCGGCATATAAGTAAATAACAAACCCGTCTCGGCCCCACCACGTTCTGCTTCCTCTTCATGCCGCTGCGATCTGCGGATGCTGCCGCCACCGACCCCCCCCCCCCCCCCCCGCTCGCCATTCCAGTTGCTGTCCTGATTAAGTTTCACCACCCATTTTCCTCAGCAAGGGGCTTTGTTGCAATGCCACCTGCGGAAGCAGATGGCGGCGTCTGTGGCCCTGCATAACGAGGCGGGGTGAGGAGGGAGAAGATGATAAAACCAGACTCTGAGATGCTCTGGTCTGGCTTGTGACTTTTCTGCCAGCGAACAAAAGGGGAAAGCATTTATTTTCTTAAAATCCAGTCCCGTTGAAGCAAACGGCTCCTGTTCTCCTGAACTCCCTTGCCTTTCCTGGTTTCATTAACTTAGATACTGCTTGATCAGAATTATTTTAAGAGTTCATGTCTAAGGTCTTGCAAGCAGACCTTGTAAAAACAATACCTAGCTCAAAGCTTCGCAAACAGAATGGGACAATACAGATATACGTCAACGGAGTGGAGTGCCTTTATTCCCTCTTTGTGGCAAAGGAGGCAGGTTGAGTCACGAGAGGGGAGGGCGTTGGGTGGGCCTTGACAATAGAAGAACACGCAGCTGGCGGTGCCAGGGAGGCAGCCACTAAATCTTCTTGGCCTGGGGTCTCCTAAAGGCCGACAGACACGTGCCCTGAGAGGACCCCCCCTCCCAAGACAGCTCACATTAAAGTTAAAGTTGCTTTCTTTCTCTGCCCCCCCCCCCCCACACACACGCAGGCAGTCATGCACAGATGCGGTCCCTTGTCCCCCAGGCCTGTTGCCTCCCACAGAGGGAGGAGCCGGTGACTTCTCTTAACAGATGAGGGGAGGGGGAGGGCCTCGTTTTTCAAGTCCAGCAATCAAAAGGATTGTTTCCACTTTGTCCCCTCTTCCCCGACCCCCCCTGGGACACAGTCACACACCCCTTGCTGAGGCACGGACTTCAACACCCTTGAATGCAGCCGAGCTTTATTTATTTTTATGTGATTTCCCCCATCCTCGCTTCTTCACTCAAGGCCGGGGTGGAGAGTGGCCACTTTCAGCATATTAAATCCTCTTCAGCATTTCCTGAGGACATGCGTAGAGTCCGTTCCCGAAACAATTGAGGCTGTTGTCAGCAGTCGCGAAGGAATGTTGACAGTCCCCTCACCGCACGTCGGTCTGAAAACACAAAGCTAGACCAACGGGCAGGGCTGTTTTTCTGGGGGAGCATATGCCGGGACAGAGTTCCGGAACCTCTTTGTGGAAAAGAAAATGCTCAGGGAAACTTTACAAGTTCATGAGGGGCACCAGGGGAGCAGGACGTCCCTTGTGACATCACAAAAATATTAGAATTTTAAAAAATAAGATTTTAACGAGGGTTTCAAAGAGTCCTGTGTGCTTCTCCCTCGTTTCCCTCTTGAAAGTTCCGGCACCTCTTTTTCCAGCACAAAAAGCCCTACCAACGGGGGTGCTGAGAACCAGTGGACAGACAGTCACGGTCAGGGCTCCCTCTAAGCTGTGGAGTCTTGTGAGTAAAAATTCTACTTTGTGAGCTACAGGCGTTAAAAGTTGTGAGCGAGTGATTTGGCTAGTTTGCTCTGGAGCCCTCCTTCCTGAGCTGAGACAAAAATCTGTCAGCCGGAGGCTAAAAAACTGTGAGCTGGCTCACACTAACTCAGCTTAGAGGGAACACTGGTCACAGTTGACATTCCCTCCCACTGCCATGATGCCATCATATGGGGCATTGACCAGACATGTACTGGACTGTCAGCCTTCCCTGACAGTTGCCACTAGATCTCTTGTCATAGGTGTTAAAGGAGCCCACAAGCACGCAAGTCAACGCATATAAAAATATACAACCTTCGCACTTTCTATCTAACCTTCCCCCATGATTTAGGGGAAGAAAGGTGGCTGTGACGTCGATTCCCTGCAGTTCCCAAGTATGCTTTTTTTTTTGGCCAGCGTTTAAATCTGCGCTGACTATCGTAAGGAGGCCAGCTGGGTGGAACTGGATATCCCTCCAAGGCTGCCTGAGTATCAGACCTTTCGGGGCACGGGGAGTAGGCCCCCCCACCCCACTTCGTGAGCTTCCACAGGCATCTGGCTAAAGGTTGCTGCTGGGAACAACAGGTTGGCCTTGATGGACCTTGGGCCTAATTGAGCGAGGCAGATCTCGTGTCAACTGGAACAGGGCCCTTTTGTGTAGCTTGGCAGGAGGGCACGTCCGGCTTGTGTGCACACATTGAATCTTAGCCACTGTGCTCTCATTTCCCATGTAATTTTATTTGTGCTTCTCTTTCCAATGGGTTTATACAGAACTGAGTGGAAGCTTCCCCCCCCACACACACACACACCCTCTGTGGTCAAAGCCTAGCAGCAACCTCTGATTTAATTAAAAACGTCGGCTGCCTTTTTTGGGGGGGGGGGGCCCTGGAGCAGAATCCTTGTGTACATCTGTGTAGGTTCCCAGGTACCTTGTGGCTAATAGCCACTGATGGACCTCTGCTCTTAGGAACATAAGAGAAGCCATGCTGGATCAGGCCAATGCCCCATCCAGTCCAACACTCTGTGTCGCACAGTGGACAAAACCCAGGTGCCATCAGGAGGTCCGCCAGTGGGGTCAGGACTCCAGAAGCCCTCCCACTGTTGCCCCTTCCAGCACCAAGAATAGAAGAACATCACTTGCCCCAGACAGAGCGTTCCATCTGTACCTTGTTCCATCTATACCACTGATCAGGGGTAATTTCGTAGACAAAGAGGTGCAGGAGCTCAGTAGCATAACTCATTAGCAT